TCCTACCAAAACAACCTCGAGTCTGTGACGTCAATGAGGGGCAGAGGGGAAGGGGGAGGGGTAGCCGCATGCTTAGAGCCTATGACCCTTAACCCAAGGGCTACGCCTGCACATTTTCCAGAACAACCTGAAATGCAATAGCTGTGCTGAGCCATTCCAGAGTAGCGCAAGAGCTAACTGGGCTGGCCTACGACTCCTTACAAGTCACGAGTGGCAGAAAGCAGTGATTCAATGAGCTTTTGCAAAAAATAGAAAGGAAAAGCCAGCACAGGAGCAACAACAAAAACAAACTGAACTCCTTAATAACACAATGAGACATGGAGGATGGAAATACCTCTTGCGCAACCACATGAAGAAGGAAAGAAGAAAAACAATAAATGTCCCTTTTTTATATTTGAACAGCGTGACCGAAAATTGTGTTGCAATAAGGTTACCAAATTATAGTCTGTTGGTCTGGCTATTTTTTTCATAGCCAATTAAATAGGACTTTTTATACACGTAACACGCTGACGGGCCCAGGAAAGCAGTCTCTGAAAGAGTCACGCCCCTGTGGTGGCTGGATCTCAAGTGCTCGTACTGTGAGCTCGTCTGCTCGGAGGCCCAAAAAACAACAACTTCATCTTCAAACATAATGAGATAAAATACAGCTAAAAGATGGCTATATTGTCCTGTGAACATTTCCTGTGGGGGGGTTGTATTTCAAGAGCAAGGCCCATGATAGGAGGATAAGCATAAAAGGAGATGAACGACCGGGAAAACATCAATGGGGTGTTTGGCCCTCATAATGAATAAAACTCTCCCTGGTTTGGTTTAAGGCAATAGCCCAGAGCTCTCCAAACCAACTGCCCCCCAGCTCCGGCTGAAAAAGGCATGTCAATTGTGTTGCAACATTCAACTATATCCTTCGATCAGACAAACCAAAGACAAAAACCGCAGGCCTATCCCTGACTCTTACACAAGACACAAACACATAACATGGCAAGAACGTGGCATTTTAAAAGACACCAAAAAATCCAAATCGCCCTTTACAAGCAATTTTGTTCTTGAGGGGTCTTTCTCCTGTGTTCGCTCCTCAGTCTGTTGTTCCATCCCTCGGGTCTTGGGCTTTCACCAGACTGTGCTGCTCTTTCCCAATGAGCTGGTGTTAATTCACCAGAGATACGATTCCTCAGCAGTTTGAGGTTTTTGTTTGAGCCTCACGGTTTCGGTGCGTTTTTGTCCACAAGTACAGGGCGGGCGCCTTGTATGTTCATGGTCTGTGACGAACAAGAGAGCGTAGCAACTCTAGAAATGAAAGAAAGGTGCTACTGCATGTCTGAACGTGACCTGAGAGCCCCTGGCCCACGAGACCGCTCCCTGATTGGTATGCCCCTC